CAAGAGTGTTACAGTAAGAGCAATTTATTGAACAAGGATGCAAGAAAAAGGTTCAATAGAAGGTGAACCTTCTGGGAAAGCCCTTGAATCCCTGGGAAACAGTGGTTGGAGATCAAGAGGTGGCAGAAGGAGGATGTGCGAAGCACCTAGAACCTCAAGGCGCTCCCCTAGTTTGCAGGCAGTCTAGCTGGCTATGTGGCTGAATCCAGCTTTTTTTTTTTCCTTTGAAAGTTTTTATTTGTTCTTTTTATGAATCCATCTTATTGAGGGGGTGTCACCCACTCACTGAYGCTGCCTGAAGCACTGGAAAATGTCAAAGGTCTTCCAGTTGTGGGGCCACCAAACCTCCAATACCATGCTCTGCAGCAGCAGCCCAGGTTGGCATGATTAAACTCCCCGGGAAGTTCTCCAGGGTGCTGGCCACTGCCAACAGGTTGGGTCTTGGTGGCAGAGCTCTGCCCATACATGTGCATTTTTACAATTATCATGGAAATATGCAATTTATACACACTTTGCCTTACAAGACTGCAACCATGTGACATCTTAGATATCCGAATAATTTGAGGTTCAAAATGAAAATGACCGAAGCTGGGCACAGCGGCACACACCTGTAATCCCAGSGGCTCAGGAGGCTGAGACAGGAGGATGGCAAGTTCAAAGTCAACCTCAGCAACTTAGGGAGGTGCTAAGCAACTCAGTGAGACCCTGTCTCTAAATAAAACAAAATAGGGCTGAGGATGTGGCTCAGTGGTTGAGTGACCCTGAGTTCAATCCCCAATATGGGGAAGGAAAAAAAAAAACAGAAAATGACTGGTAACTACTACTAGCATTTGACAAAATACAGCACTCTTTTATGTTCAAAACACTAGAAAAACTAGTGATAGTAGGAACATACCTCGACACTGTAAAAGCTATCTATGCTAAACCCAAGGCCAACATCATTCTAAATGGAGAAATATTGGAAGCATTCCCTCTAAAAACTTGAACAAGACAGGGATGCCCTCTTTCACCACTTCTATTCAACGTAGTCCTTGAAACTCTAGCCAAAGCAATTAGAAGAAAGAAATTAAAGGGATACGGATAGGAAAAGAACTCAAACTATCATTATTTGCTGACAAGAGGATTCTATACTTAGAGGATCCAAAAAACTCCACCAGAAAACTTCTAGAATTAATTAACGAATTCAGCAAAGTAGCAGAATATAAATCAATACAATAAATCAAGTCAAATGTATTTCTATACATCAATGATAAATCCTCTGAAAGAGAAATTAGGAAAACTACCCCATTCACAATAGCCTCAAAAAAAAAAAAAAAAAAAAAAAAAACCTTGGGAATCAACAAAAAAGGTGAAAGACCTCTGCAATGAAAACTATAGAACAGTAAAGAAAGAAACTGAAGAATATCTTAGAAGATGGAAAGATCTTCCATCCTCTTAAAAAAGCACGTGGGTGGGGGCATTTCAACAGAATCCTCTTAAATGCACACTTATTGGCTATTTTATAAAGTGGGATGAATGGATAGGCAAAATTAATATTGTCAAAATGGCCATACTACCCAAAGCCGCTTTACAGATTCAATGTGATTCCAATTAAAATCCCAATGTTGTTCGTTATAGAAATAGTAAAGGCAATCATGAAATTCATTTGGAAAAATAAGAGACCCAGTATAGCTAAAGCAATCTTTAGCAAGAAGAGTGAAACAGGAGGCATTAAAATTCCAGACCTTAAACTATACTATGAAGCTATAGTAACAAAAATGGCGTGGTATTGGCACCAAAATGAACATGTAGACCAATGGTACAGAATAGAAGACACAGTGACAAAATCACACAATACAGTTATCTCATACACTTCTCAGAAGCTATATACACTTAATCAACAAATATATGAAAAAAATGTTCAACATCTCTAGTAATTAGAGAAATGTAAATCAAAACTACTCTAAGATTTCATCTCACGCCAGTCAGAATGGCAGCTATCAAGAATACAGACAACAATAAGTGTTGGTGAAGATGTGGGGAAAAGGCACATTCATACATTGCATTATATTACAAAGGCGCCAAAAACATAGAGTGGAGAAAAGACACCAACAAATGGTGCAGGAGAACCGGAAATCCATATGCAGCATAATGAAAATAAATTCCTCTCTCTCACCATGCACAAAACTCAACTCAAAGTGGATCAAGCACCAAGGAATTAAACCAGAGACCCTGCACCTAATAGAGGAAAAAGTAGGCCCAAATCTTCATCATGTTGGATTAGGCCCCAACTTCCTTAACAAGGCTCCTAAAGCACAAGAAATAAAATCAAGAATTAATAAATGGGATGGAATCAAACTAAAAAGTTTCTTCTCAGCAAAAGAAACAATAAGTAAGGTGACCAGAAAGCCTACATCTTGGGAGCAAATTTTTACCATACACACATCAATAGAGCACTAATCTCCAGGATATATAAAGAACTCAAAAAACTTAAAACCCCCAAAACAAACAACCCAATCAATAAATGGGCTAAGGAGCTGAATAAACACTTCTCAGAAGATATATACACTCAATCAACAAATATATGAAAAAATGTTCAACATCTCCAGTAATTAGAGAAATGCAAATCAAAACTACTCTAAGATTTCACCTCATGCCAGTCAGAATGGCAGCTATCAAGAATATAGGCAATAATAAATGTTGGTGAGAATGTGGGGGGAAAGGCACATTCGTACATTGGTGGTGGGACTGCAAATTGGTGAAACCAATCTGGAAAGCAGTATGGAGATTTCTTGGAAAATTGGGAATGGAACCACCATTTGACTCAGCTATCCCAGTCTTTGGTCTATACCCAAAGGACTTAAAATCAGCATACTAGTGACACAGCCACATCAATGTTCATAGCAGCTCAATTCACAACAGCTAAACTGTGAAAGCAACCTAGATGCCCTTCAGTAGATGAACGGATAAAGAAACTGTGGTATATATACATAATGGAATATTACTCAGCATTAAAAGAGAAAAAAATTATGATATCTGCAGGTAAATGGTTGGAGTTGGAGAATATCACGCTAAGCAAAGTAAGCCAATCCCCCCAAATCAAAGGCCAAATATTCTTTGTGATAAGTGGATGCTGATCCATTACAGGGAGGGGGGAGGCATGGGAAAATGGGGGAACTTTGATTGGGCAAAGGGGAGGGGAGGGAGGGGGAGGGGAGGAAGGGAGGGGGAAGGAAGGGGGGGAGGGAAGGGGGGGAGGGAAGGGAGGGAGGGCCCAGGGGGTCAGGAAAGATGGTGGAATGAGATGGACATCATTACCCTAGGTACATGTATGACTGTGCATACGGTGCGATGCCACATTGTGTACAACCATAGAAATGTAAAGTTGTGCTGCAATTGTGTACAATGAATCAAAACCCACTCTGCTATCATATATACCTAATTAAAATAAATAAATTTAAAAATTTTTGGAGGGTACTGGGGGTTGAACCCAGGGGCACTTTACCACTGAGTTCCATTTCCAGTCCTTTTTATTTTTTAAGATAGGGTCTTGTTGGGCGGGGGAGGTCTCTCCCTCTGGAGATGGGTTATATTCTCCCTTGAATGTGTATCTTTTTTTCTAAATAAATCTGTGTCTATGGAAAAACAAAAGACGGGATCTTGTTAAACTGTTGAAGGCCTTGTTAAGTTGCTGAGGTTGGCTTTGAACTTGGGATCCTTCTGCTTAGTCTCCTGAATCCCTGGGACTACAAGTGTGCTCCACTGTGCAGGGCATAATCTGTTTTCTTTTTTTTTTTTTTGGTTGTTGTTGTTTTTGTTTGTTTGTTTGTTTGTTTAGTGGGCTCAGCAACCAGTTTTACTACCCCTGTTCTTTGGCAGATTTTGAGTTCAAGGGACAGCTTAAAAATCAATTCTATAAACAAATGAGCTGTGGGAAATATTCATGGTCTCTTATCTCCCATACTGATTATTGGGAAAGAAGATATTTTGTAATTCCAGTAAAATCTGGTATAGACACATATTTAACTGGTAAACAGCCACACCTAAATGATTACCAAAAATTTTGCTTCCTTTTTCTTTCTCAATGCTATGGACTTTGACTTCATGTTGTCTAAAGATCTGTCTAGATTTAAGCTAGGTCAAAGTTACAAACAATAAGATATTTTGGCATAGTTTTAAAAAAGAAAATAAAACAGGGTTAGGGATATAACTCAGTTGGTAGAGTGCTTGCTAAGGCCTTGGCTTCAATCCCCAGCACCACACACCCCTCACCCCCACACACAAAAAAGTTTTAAAAAGGGATGTGGGTGGGGGTATTTCAACAGAATCCCCTTAAATGCACACTTATTGGCTATTTTATAAAGTGGGGTGAATTTTTAAGGACACAACGATATAAAAAGTGCAAACTTTGGAGTCAGAAGAAACCAACTCAGAATTATGCCAGCTACTTTTCAGGATCTGGTTTCACCTCTGTAAAATGGGGAGAATAAGTAGTTTATGGGATGTTGAAAGAAAAAAATTTTAAACACAGAACTGTTCCAGGCACACAGTGGGTGCCTAATAAATGTGATTACTATTACAGCCTTGGTGTAATACTATTGTAGTATTCTGCCATTCAAAAAGGGTAGGTTCTGCCATTCAAAAAGGACCTTAACTTAGTCTTTTTCAGTTCAACACTTACACGTTGGTTATAAAGCCAAGGAAGCCAAGGCTGTTGCTTTTGAGCAGCTTTTAATCAAACAGAAACTCTTCTAGCAAATTTCAGGGCTTTTGTTTTGCTTTAAGTTTGGTACAGGAACCGGGAGCACTAGAAGGGCGGCGCGCTCTGTCCACAGACTCGGGAATCAGAACTCGGGGCCATGCAGCATGTGGCCAAAGGCCAGCACGCCAGTGTCCAGGTCCCACCCGGGTCCTGCCAGACTTCCAACCACGGGGAAGAAAAGCCATCATCTCCAGCGGAAACCCCCTGGAATGGGGAAGGGTGGTCCAGAGGGAAGCACAGCCCGGAGCGAGACACTCACCAGCACTAAGTGCACCAGCGCGTCGTAGCAGAGCCAGGCTAGCGCGCCGCGGTCCGCCGCCCCCCGCCCGCGGCCCAGGCGCAGGCCCAGCGCGCAGCCCGCCGCCAGCAGCGCAGCGCACAGCAGCAGCGAGCGGCCGGCCGCCGCCCCCAGCCCCCAGCCGGCCTCCATGCAGAAGCTGCCCGCGTGCGCAGCCGGATACCGGAGGGGGCTCCCGGGGCGCGGCGGGAGAAGGTGGGGCCGCGGGCAGGGGCGGGGCGCGGTTGCGCTGTGGCCACGCCTCCAGGCCAGCCCGAGAGCCGAGTGCCACCATCGGTTCCCGCCAGGCAGGTTCACCCACCTCCACCAAACCTGCTCCAGGCTAGTCCCAAAGCACCCATAATAGGGGCACACATTTTTGATACGGTTTGATGGGGGGGTAGGTAATGGGGGCTCTTCACCACTGAGCTGCATCCCTAGTTGTTTTTACTTATTTAAATTTTGAGACAGGGTCTCCCTAAATTGCTTAGGCTGGCCTTGAACGTTCGATCCTCCTGCCCCAGTCTCCCGCGTCGCTGGGATTACAGGCATGTATCACCGCACCAGGCTGATGCAGATCTTTTTTTTAAGGGTCAAAACTTTAACCACAAAACTAAAGTCTGATGAAAAATTTGCCTGGAGACGGGATAAATTTCGGGACTAAAGTGTCTAATTGGCCTTGCAAGTCTGTTTTTAATGACCAGCAAGCTTTTTTTTTTTTTTTTTTTTTTTTTTTTTTTTAATGTGGTGCTGGAGATCAAACCCAGTGCCTCATGCGTGCTCCGCAAGTGCTGTACCACGGAGCCACAACCCCAGCCCAACAGCAAGCTTTTTAAAGCTCATGTGGCTGTTACTTCCATTTGTGAAAAATCCAAAAAAATCAGCAAAGGGTCAGAGAAGCACTAAATCATATCAGGATGGCACTAGATGCTTTTACCTACCTTATTTTACTTCACAACCACCCTGTGAGGTCGGTGGAAAAAGACACAAATACTGTATGATTCCACTTTCATGAGGTATCTGAAGTAGTCAGATTCATTATACCCGTTAAATAATTCCTCTTTTCCCTTTCCCCCAGTCTGAGCTAAGTATCATCCTACATTGTTTGTGGAGATTGATTGCCAACAACGTAAATATACTTAACAGTATTGAACTGGATGGCTAAGATGGTAAATTTTATTGTCTGTATTTTATAATTAAAAAAAATGACTGCCTACAGTTCAAAACCCTTTCCCCCCAGCCACTTCCTATACCATTTTTTATACTTTTATTTTATTTATTTATGTGGTGTTGAGAATAAAATCCAGGGCCTCGCATGTGCTAGGTGAGTGCTCTATGGCTGAGCCAAACCCCAGCCCCTTCCTATACCATTTTTAATGTAGCAGATATCAGATTAAATTCTTTTATTTACACATCTATTGCTAGTTTCATGCCATTATAATAATAATCTCTATTAGGCCATGGGGTTGCTAGTTGCCCAATTAAATAACTGCTGACTGAAAAGTGTATATGGTCAACCTGCCACCTAATGCTCTGAATTCTCTCCTATAACTTAGAAAATTTATGATTATTCTTCTTTTCTTATATTCAGTTTATTTCTCAACTGCATTTTCCCCACCAATTTTCTGACATCCTCCTTTAGTGATTATCCTATTGCTCCTTCAGAGCAAAATAGAAAGCTGATGAGGAAAAAACTAATTAGAATCACTATCTTCATATTCTGCCTCTGTTCCACAGTCCTTTCTACTTCAGTATCTAACTTCCTAACCACACTGACCTCCAGATCACTAAAACCAAAGGATAGTTCATGTCCTTACCTCGCTTCATTGCTTAGCAGCACCAGGGGGCACTGAAATCTCTTTCCCCACCATTTCTTTTTCTTTGCAAACTCACCCTCTACTAATGTGCTCACTGAATGCTGGAACTCCATGACACCATCTTAAGCCCTTTCCACACTTCAGACACTAGACCCAGGCAGTCTCATCCTCACCCGATACTTTAATAATCATCCAAATAGGCAGAGGATTCAAATCTCTAGCCCAGATTCTCCTCTACTTTCTGGATCAATATTTCCAACTGCCCTGCAAGGCAAGTCTTGGATATTTCAACTTAACACAACCCAACTGAGCTCACCCTCCACCTCCATGTCTGATTCTCTTTCCTAACCCATGTTGCTTCCACTTGGTTGCTAGTCTTGGGATTTGGAAATCATCCTTGATTCTTCCCTAGCTCCATATCTAAGGCATCACCAGCTCATCTGTTTTAGCAGGCGAGCATCTCTTTGTCAATGTTCTTCATGGATCAAACAGTCCATCACCTCCTGTCTTGGTGTTTCACACTATGAACAGTAACCTCTGTCACTAAAATTCTGTCCTTAACAACTAGTGACCCTTTTTAAACATTAATTTTCTGTCATTCCTCTTGCTTAATAATTTCCCATTGTTCTTCATATGACCTACCAGGCTGTGGGGTCTGGCCTCTATTTTTGGAGCCCTGATTAACTCATCCTTCTCTTCATTATAGTCTTTGATTTGGCATCATTTGCTTTCACCCACTTGAGTTCCTGTGGTGCTTCCCATGTGGCCTTGCTACATACTCTTCCCACTGTCAGGAGACTTTCCAATCTGCACAATGAACTCCTGCATTTTCATCACATCAGTTGTGGTAATTTGGGGAAAATTTTAACTTCTCTTTGCACTTAGTAAGAGCTTGCCATCAGCCTGGTTGTCATCTCCTTAACCAGGCCAATTCTTTTATATCACTSTAAACCTCTTTTTCCTAATATTTGTCATAAACTTTAACTTTTCCTGTGATATTATAAAGTATCCTGAGCCACAGCATTGAACCTGGCATGGGATAGGATGCTCCATAAATATCAAAAGACACCGAGAGGATACCTACAGATAACAGAATATAATCGTTTGAGGAAAATGAGCTGAATTAATATAAAATTCTGAAATTTAGGTTTGAATAGAGTAGCTGCCTAAGTACTGGGCCAAACAGAATGGAGACTTGTCACTTGATCACAAATCTAATAATGATGAAGCTGGTAAAAATAACTGAAATACTTGCTTCCACACTGTAAGTGTCCAGATAACTGAATGCTTCCATTCCACTGTACTCAGGAACAAGTCACACCACACTATTTATTGTACATAAGCTGACGTAAGTCGTCCAACAACTTTATAACATGAAGGGAGGAAATGTACGGGGTATTCGGGCTGAGAAAAGAAGCTGAAGAAATAACCAAAATCTAGCCAAAATTTAATTTATGACAGACATCTGAGAGAGGTGACTTTTGTTTAGGATTAAGAATTTTATGCCAACTAAAGCTAGCCACAAAGTAGAACAAGCTCCCATTGTGTATCTCATCTTTCACTCAAACTTCTGACTCTTATCCATAAGACAGCTTGCTTCAGAGGTAGAGTGCTCTGGGTTCAACCTCAGAAACAAAAATTAAAAAATTAAAAAAATTGACTTTATTCTTAAAACATTATATACAATGTGTACCTTACTGTGTAACACTGAGAATTGCATTTTACTTACCACCTAGTTCAGTTGCTGACCCATGAAGATGTTCCTTGTTTATTATGGCTTCACACATTACCTAGCACAAGACCGTGTGTATTTGTGGTCCCACAATTTGAGGAAAGAGAATACTCAAGAAGGTGGATAGCAGTTTGTTAGGGTAGGAAAAGGGACACTGTAGAATAAATTCCCTGAAGAGAACCCTTTCTTTATTGCATGGCTCATAGTTCCCTGCAGTTTTTTGTTTTGTTTGTCATTTTTGGGGATGGGGAGCAGTGGGGATCAAACCCAGGGCACCTGATACACTAGACAAGTGCTTTACCACTGGACTCTATTCACTGGGCTCTAACATCAAGCCAAACCTCTCAGCCTTAACTTTGTTTTTTTTTAAAAGAAAGGTCTGGCCAAGTTGCCCAGTCCGGCCTTGAACTTTGAATACTCCTGCCTTAGCCTCCAGAGCAGCTGGGATTAAAGGTATATGTCACCATGCCCAGCTTTGCTCCCTAGCTTTTAATCATTTAGTAAACTTGTAAGTTTCCTGGGGGGGCCAATATCTCAGTGCATCAAGTGATTTTCAAACTCTGCTGATTTTCTAGTCCAATTCCAGCTTTCCCTCATAGAATTTAAAGGTCTTCAACTAAAAATGTTTGGAAAACACTACAAGAAGGTCTTGAGATTTAGCGATTAACACATTTGTTACCTGTTTCATATAACCCTGTTTTTCAGCAACAGGGCAAATTTTAAAAGTTGACCAAGTAGTCTCTATTCCCATTTCAAGCCTGTGGAATAGATGGGTGTAGCACCTTCTACAGTTCCCACAGGAGGATGATCTGGGAAATGAAGTGAGGTTTGTGTTAGTCAACTTATTGTTTTGTGACAAATACCTGAGAAAAACAATGTGAAGGAGGAATGATTTATTATGGATCATAGTTTCAGTCTACAGTTGGTTGACTCCATCACTCTAGGTCTGAGAGGCAAAACATTATGGTGAAAGGGTATGATGGAGGAAAGCTTCTCAGCTCATAGCAGCCGGAAGTCAGGGGGAGACACAGGATGTCATAACCTTTAACTGGGGGACTTGGTCAAGACAGTTCCCAACTCTATGCTCCTAGTGACCCACTTCTTTAACCATGCCCTACTTATAGTTTCTACCACCTCCTAATAGTTCATTCAGCTATCAGTGGATTAATCCACTGACAGGGTCAAAGCCCTCATGATCCAATCATTTCACAAAAGTCCCATCTCTGAACATGGCTGCATTTGACGACCAGGCCTTTAACACGAGTCTTTGGGGAACACTTTATATCCAAACCTTAATAGTCTGCCTCTGATTTTTCCTAAAATTCAGAATAAAGAAAAGGCACATTTTTTGTCTCCTATTTTTTAATCTTATGCATTTGAAGAAACCCTGAGACTATTCACATAACAAAGTCATGATTTAGACTTCCTCATTTAAGACAGTGGTTCACAACCAGGGAAGTTCTGGCTCCCAGGGAAAACCTGACAATGTCCACAGGCATTTTTGGTTGTCTTCACTGAGGGAGAAGGATGAGGTAATAACATCTACTGAGTAAAGTCTGGAAATGCTCCAAAACATCCTACCATGCACAGGACAAACAGAAGAAATAATTAT